CTCTCTTCTCTCCCCACTGCAGAGGCGGCCAGGTTTAGGTCACCTGGCTTAGAGGCAGACAGTTGATAGCTAGGCCCCCAAATTTCAGGCCTTTGGAGATCTGATACTACCTTTCAGTTCCCTTCCATGGGTGAAATGGGAGCTGACTGGCCAGCAACTCTTACACTCAAGCAAAAAGCCTTCTGACTAATTCCTCACCCCGAACCCCAGAGTTCTCTGCTGTGAGGCTGCCCATGTTGGTCCATCAACCCAGACATCCTGACAGTTTTCCTGGACAAGTCTGTTTTTCATGGTCCTCGTATTTAACTATTTATGTTTGCGCTCTCCAGTGCAGTGGCCACTAGCCACATGCAGCTATTTAAATTTATGTTATATTCACGTAGATCAGATAAGTTTGTATTGATAAAAGTTAAAGAAATTTAAAAACTTAGTCTCATTTCAAGTGCTCAATAGCCAGTGTGGCTACTGGCTACTGTTAGTGTAGGAAGGGAACATTTCCGTTATCACAGAAAGTCCTAATGGACAGCTCTAATCCATCCAACCAGCAATTCCAGTATATTGGCATCCAAACTACATCTCACAGCCTAATTTCTTCCTCATAGAGGGTCCTAAAGCTCCCTTGACCTTTCAAGTGAACACATCTGAGTTCCCCAAATGTCAAGGCTTGTTGGGATCAGAGGCCACCTGGCAGAGGGTGCCTCTAGAGAAGTGTCCTCTATATAAGTCACTCGTGCCAAGTTTGCACTCCTGCTGTCCCCACACCGTGGGACACGCAGGATCCAGCTGGGATGGTGTGTGTGCGCTTTGACTCTACACTCCATTTGCAGAGGAAGGAACTTGGTGGCTGTTGGTTTCATCCAAGCCATCAGCCCTGGCAGCCAAGTGTGACAGAAGGATAGCTGGAGGTGGAGTCCAGTGTTGGCAGAGGGAAGGAGGGAGGGCCAGGGCTGAGAGACTCACAGCTGGCGATGGATACTTCTAGATCTGCCCTGCCCTAAGCAGGGGGGTTATGGTAGGAAATGCTTCTCAGAGCCTCCCATCTTCCTTTCTGGACCTCTAGGAGATGAGTCTTTGCAGAGGGAAGAGGACAGCTTTTTGTTGTTGTTGTTTTCCTTCCCCAGGCCAGAGAGAAGAGGCACATTGGGGTAAGAGGTTGAACTAGAAGCAGTTTCTTTTTGGAACAGGGGCAGTTCTCTATTCCCTGCCAGTTCCTGCAGGCAAACAGCATGCCAGGCTGGCCTGCCGCCCCAGCCTTACCTGTCATGTGCTTGGCAAGTCTGACTTGAGTCCTTTTTTCCACTGCCTTCCCTACCCCGTCAAATTGCAGTTGCAACCTCTCATTTTTCTGCTGCCTAGATGATTAAAAAGCATGACTTAGTGGAAAAATCTCGACCTCCTTAGGGTCAGCCTCTTAAGCAGCTGTCGGCGATAAGATTGTGCTGGCAAAATACTCAGCAACACTTTGCAACGCTTTCTGTCTGCATGCAGGGAAATGAGAAACTGTTTGGTTCTGGGCACATGTTTGTCTTTGGAGAGCTACAATTTTCAGAGGCATAAATTGGCATTATTTGATAATAAAATAAAGTCTTTGATGGAAAGGTGTGATTATTATAGTGATTTTTTAAATGCAATTAACATGCTTTGTAAAGGAAAAAAAAATGTTTTAATGGAGCCTGCTTTGAGCAATTCAGGGAGCAAAGTTCTCTGGCAACCGAGCAGTATCAGAAGTTCAATGCTAAGACTTCCCCCAAGGACTTAAAAGACTTAATTGTGCAGCTCTTGGTATGAAAGGCATTGTTTGGAGTTATTTTAATTACCATGTGAGTATTGCCGCCTCTTGCTTGGAGATTGAATACTTACTGTAGTCTTGTTGAAACGGCTCCAAAGAGGACATTCCAGTTTGAATTCAGCATATGTCCTCAAAGCACTTTATCGTCTGTGTGTTTGCCAAGAACTTGTACCCATCTAGGGAGACACGAAGGTCGCTTCGCTTCTCAAGAGGAAAAACTGAGTCACAGGCAGTCGAGAGGACCTGATTGGGGTTATAGAAGTAGTGTCATGGTTGTAGGGAGAATGTGGGGTCTGTGGCTCTACACGATGTGTTATCAAATTTTAAGTCCTATAGGTCTGAGTTCAGGTCTCCATTCAGCCACTTCCTAGCTGTGTGGCCTTGAGTAAGTTGCTTGCCTTCTCTGGGCTTCAGTTTCTTCATCTATAAAACAGGGATACACTTCATTGGATAATTGTAAAGGTTGAGATTCTGCCCAGCAAATGTGCCTGGCTTATCTTCTATTATCATCATTATCATTTTAACATTCTTTCCCCCTAATTTTAAAGACCTCTTCCCATCTTGAAACATGCTCTCCCTTCTCACTGTCCTCCTCCTTCAGCTGGCCTTGCTGTGTCTTATCCCTTTCTCTCTTCCTTGGCTTGGGTGATCATAATTAGAATCCAGTTGCTGGGACATCACAGGTAGGCCCAGCTCTGGGCTTGAGGTCAGAGTGAAGACGCAGGGGCCCAGGTCTGTGCTGAGCCATGTGTCCATCTCTTTTTGATATGTCATAGCTCTGTCTCAGGTCCTGAAGATTTAGACCAACTGTCCAGATGGGGAAGCTCATCACCTAGACCTAGCTGCCCAGAGGTCATCCCAACACCTAAACTGGGGCATCTAACAGCTGAATGGGCAGTTAAGGCCCAGAGTCCTCCCCACTCTCCCTGGTCAGTTTTCTGTGAAACAGGCATCCGTTCACTTTTCAAAAAGCACAGGCACTGAAAACAGCAGATCTTGGTTTGAATCCTGGCCCTTCCATGGGTCCCACAGAGCCTGGGGTTTCCTTGCAGCTCAATGAGGGGATGTCTGATAGAGCTTTGACAACTGACGTGCCTTCCACTGGCTGGATTTCCCCTTGCTCATCCCAAAGGTCGTGCATGGAAGGCACCTATGCGTCACCCCCATGGACAGGCTCCAGCTCCATGTGAGAAGCAAGGAGGGGCCTGGCTAGGCCCCTCGCCACCCTCTCCCTGCTCAGCACATCAGGTCTGTACGCACAGCACAGCCCCAGGGCGGAACTGCAGGGCTGGCCCCACCAGGGAGAGGAAGCCTAGAGTGAGGGTCCACTGTCCCCATGCCTCCTTTTGCCCCAACTAGCCTCACCCCACCTCTGGCTTTTTTACCTCCTGGCTGCTATTACAATACTTTTTATGAGCCTGTTAAGTCTTTAATGATACCTGGTTGCGCAGCTGGCTTAAGGCTTAATCCCCAGCAATAGGGCTTTATTGGATAAATGGTTAATAATCACTTGTCTGCAGGGATTGGGGAGGTTTTGTTGAGGCCCGTGATTCTCCGAAGCCCCACGTGGCCTGTGACGTGGTCTGTGACTGAGACAGCACTGCCCGGGGCTAGGGTGCTGTAAGATTGGGCACCACAGAGGCTGGGAAGGCCTGAGTTTGCAGGAGAACGTTTCGGCCACCTTCTGAGAAGAGAGGACCCTTGTGTGCTGCTGTGAGCCTCTCTTGATCTGTGCCTGGCTCGGGCAGTCTCCAGGCTCTCTTCATTTTTTTTTTTTTTAATGTTTTATTTATTTCTAGGAGAGAGAGACAGAGACAGCGTGAGCAGGGGAGGGTCAGAGAGAGAGGGAGTCACAGATTGAAACAGGCCCCAGGCTCTGAGCCGGCAGTCAGCACAGAGCCCGACGCGGGGCTCGAACCCACGAACCGCGAGATCATGACCTAAGCGAAAGTCGGACACTTAACCGACTAAGCCACCCAGGCGCCCCTCCAGGCTCTCTTCAAATGTGTGTCTCCACCCACTCCGTTTTGCTTTCCTGTCTCTTGCCATTAACAAGCTGTGTGACCTTGAGCAAGTCTCCGGACCCCTCTGAACCTCGGTTTCCTCATCTACCAAATGGAGAGATTGGAAGAGATGGCCTTGAAAGCACCATGTGGCTTTCCACGTCAGTGTTCTGTAAGCCTCAGTGTCCCAGACAGAGGCTCCTCTCCCCGGCTCTCGGGTGTGTCACCGAAGGCTGTAGATGGCAAGGGACCAGCAGCCCGTCGGATTAAGTACTTAAGCTGCTGGGCAGAGAATTGGGTCAGCTGTAGTCACAGGGCAGTGAGTACAGAGGGAATCCGCAGAGCCCCTCATAGCCCTCGTTTGTATTCCCTGGTTTGGGACTTCTCCCAGCTCTGGGCAGAACACACAGTAGGCATTTAAAAGGAGCCCTTAGCGGGACTCTGAAAAGATTCTTCCAGGTGTAGAACCCAACTCACAGGTGAAAACAGTGAGAACAGAATTCTTCCTGGCTTGCCTGTGACTGGGGCCATGCCCTCGACCCTGATTTGGCCTGGACTTGATAGACTGCAGTGAGATCAGAACCCATCTATTTGAGGGGCAGGGTGTTATTGGGGTGTGGGCACATGGGTCAGACAGACCTGGACTGGAGTCTCTTTCCACAACCACTCACTTCCAGGCTGTATGGCTGCGGCAGCCTCCCTCTTCAAACCCGAAATTCTTTAAGGTAGCGTCAGAAACACCTCTTTGTCAGCACAACTATATTGGTTCCAAACTGTAAAACACCTGGGAGCGGGCTCCTACTAGGCGCTAATCATTACTCTGGGAGGAATTCACTGACAAGGTACCTGTGACTTAGACTTGTGGGCATAACGTGATGACTGCAGGTGGGTGTGGCTTACTATGGGTGACAGAATTTTGAATTAGTTTATCTGAAATAAAAGACAAGAAAAGACACGAACAGAGCGGCCCCACAGATTAGGTGGCACTGCCCTGAACCCTTGCACCTTCCGGATTAACGTCTGCTGAGACACAGTTTTCTGGGTTGCCCCAGACTTCACTTCCTGCCTCCTGCAGGATCCTGAGAGCCTGGCACGGTGGTGGGCACTCAGCAGGGCTCAGCTGCCCACGTGTACGTGAAATGAAGCAATGGGACTTGTCCTTTCCACTACTGTGCGGTGACCGGACACTCGCTCTGCTTCTCTTCCAGATCTTCCCCGACCCGTCGGACTTTGACCGCTCCTGCAAAGTGAAGGACCGCCTGCCCTCCATCGTGGTGGAGCCCACAGAGGGCGAGGTGGAGAGTGGGGAGCTCCGGTGGCCTCCCGAGGAGTTTGTGGTCCAGGAGGATGAGCAGGACAACTGTGAAGAGACAGAGAAAGACAACAAGGAGCAATAGAGTCCTCGCCGACTCCCTCGGGGCCATACCAGACGGCATGTGTCCCGGAACTGCGTGTTCTTTCCCGTTTTGATGGAAGAAGGGAGTGAGCCACAGTAGTTCTGAAAATGTCAAATGATGGCTTCCGTTTTGCACCTGCAAATCACCAAGTTGGTTTTCTTTTCTTTCCTTTCCTTTTTTTGAGATGCTGGGCAGTGGAGCCCTCTGCGACAATGTGCAAGGCCTTCTGAGAAAGGAAGCTGCTTAGAGCAGGGGTGGGGGGTTGCGGGGAAGTTGTGCATCTTCGAGATCAGAATCTGAACCTGAGCAGGCTAGAGGCAGCAGTGGGATTCCAGTGGGCTCCGGAGGGGGTGGTGAGGGTGCAGTGGGGGGGGGGGGCAGGATGGGGTATGTGCACCGCGAGCGAGGAACATTTGGGGTAAGAGAACAAACAGGAGACGAAAGAGAAAATACACACTTTGAAAGAAAGCATCGAGCGGAGGAGTGCAGCCAGGAAGTTCCCCGCCAGCAGCTGCTGGGGCATCAGGAAGCGACGTGTTCATCTCTCTCTCTCTCTGTCTCTCTCTCCAGTTCTGCTCACCACAGCCTTTGCTTTTATTTTGGCTGTGTTGGTCTGTTAATGGGAGGCAGAAAAAAAGAGCAGTAGAAACCGGCTGCCTGCAAAACCGGCTGGAGGTGAGGCGTGGGTGGGAAGGCTTCCCTGCCCCTCCTCCACCCTCACTCCAGCCTTGGCATAGCCGGTTCACATACCCGCTCTAATCTGGAAGTTTCTTAAGAGGCGGCGCTCTTGAGCTTTTCTCTCCTGATTTTTCCTATTGCGCACCGTCCCCCACCTACCCCCCCCCCACTGCCGGCCCAGCCCTTTGGGAGTAGCGGGGGCACACCCCGCCCTTGCAGAAGGACCGGGGTGGATGGACTCTTGGGCATGGAGACCCCTGCCCCCTGCTCCCCTAGGCTTGCTCTGTTCTGAGGGGAGGCACGACCTACTGGCCCTGCTCGGCCCCCACCCCTCCCCAGCCCCTGGGCGTAGCAGTCAGGCAGAGGTCGTTCCCAGCTGTGCAGTGGGTCCCAGCCAGCCTGACCAGCAGAGGTACCCACTCCCATGTGGGCTCCTGGCCTGGCTTTATTTTTGGTGGGAGCAGAGTGGAGAGCAGAGGAAGCTCTGTGTTTCTCACTGGGGAGGTGAGCTTTAATGCAGATCCCAAATTGGAGACTTAGCCATGGGGGCCACAGGGCTCTCCTGCAGCAGTTTGAAACTGAAGGTGTCATGCGATCCCTGGCTTCTCCTTGTGATGTTCCAGATGCAGGTGGGTGGATGGCATGGTGACGATGATGAGGGAGCGCTAAGCATCGGCCCTCATCCCTCCCCCCTCTCCCCTGGCCCCTGCAAGGGCACAGTTGCAAGAGAAAGCTAGCCTTGGACTTAGAGCTTCTTACAGTTAAGAACCCTCTGGAGCAGCAAGTTGCAGGGCGCACTGTTCAAACCTCCTGCAGCTCACAGCATGACCCTCCTGGAGGCTGAACCCGGCCAGCAGAGGCACCCTGCCGCTCTCGGGTGGGTCTGGGCTGACCCCAGTTTGGGACTTGTGTACAGAGCTGTATTTAATACCTCAAGGCTAGTGTGGTTCCAGGGACCTGGGGCGGGGGGATGAGGTGTGCGGTTCACACCTCCACAGGATTTGGTTCTAGAAAGCCGACACCCAGCCCCCAGCCCCCCCCCCACCCCCCGCGTCCTGCCCCCCGCCCCGTGTTGTCTGCTTGTATTACACACACCGATGGCAATAACTTCTTCCAGCTCCTCGGGAACGGGCGAGGCCTGCAGCCCGCAGCCTCTCATGCGCCCGCTGGTCCTGCTCTGGCTGCAGAGTCCTCCCTCCTTCCTCATCCCTCACCTGCCTCCCTTCGTGGATGGGGCCTTGCCTTTTACAATCCCGTTTCTGTGTCCCTCTTATCCGCTCCTTTCTCTCATCTGTCCTGGTCTTGCCGTGTGATAGGAACGTGCTTGTAAACTGCATAACAAATCTACTTTGTGTATATGTGTGTTTATGGGGGTGTCTTATTATTTTGCTGGTCGCTAGATGCCTTTGTACGACCATTCGGAGTCTGAGCAGGCCGGGAGCTGACAGCTAAAGTCAGGACCTGCAGCAGCCTGTTGGAGGGACCCAGCCACTCTTTGACAAGTGGCCGAGCTCCTGTCTGGCCTCCTGTTGTTTCGTTTTTCGTTTTTTTGTTATTTTTTTTAAGTAACTTGTGTGTATTTCTAACTGATCGTATTAAAAAAAAAAACCTAGTATTTCAGTAAAAAATGCCTGTTGTAAGATGAACCTCCTGTAACTTCTATCTGTTCTTTTTTGAGGCTCAGGGAGAAACTAGCATTTTTTTTTTTCAAACTACTTTTTGTCACTGTGACAGTTGTAAATAAAGTTTGAAAATGCTTTCCACTCTGGTCTGGTTTCCTTCTTTCTTCCATCGGAACTGGCAGAGCACGTCACCAGGATGCAGCTCTCACGGGAGGCTGTTAGGAGGGGCTCCGAGTGAGGGTCCTTCCGTATCGTGTGTGCTGGTGCTCCCAGGATGAACCCGTCCATGGTTCTTGTCACCTGGCTGAATGAAAGCAGCCCTTCCCTCTGTGCCAGTGGTCCTCAATTCTGGACGCACATCAGAATCACCGGGAAAGCTCTTTAAAAGTACAGCTGCCTGGGTTCTACCCCTCGAGACTTGGATTTCAGTGGGCTAGGCTGAGGTCCAAGCGCTAGTTCTGTTTAGAATCATGGGGAGCTTTTAACACACAGCCCCCGTTTTTTGCCACCTTTTTAAGGGAAGAGAAATACCCAACATCTCTCATAAGGCCATTCACAAAGACTGCGGGTGAGGGATGGATGTACAGTCCGCTAAAAGCTCTGGTAGTCGTTCAAAACATGGATTGAGTGCCTATAATTGATCAGGTGTCATTAAGAGATTGGGGGAAACACAAGGCTAGTGCTCCCCGCCCTCGCTGCCCTGCTTTAGTGTAAAATGAGAAGTGTGGTGAGTTCAAGGCAGGAAAAACAGGACGCCCTGAGAGAATCTCTTGGGAGGGCCAAGATGGACATCTGAGGAAGAGAGGTGAGGCGCATGGAGAGAGTGCTTTCAGCAGAGAGAAGGCTGGGAATGAGCTTAACTAGTGGGGGCAGGGACGGAGTGCCAGGGAGGCTGCTAGTGCCTGAGTTAAGAGGTTGGATTTTCTTCTATGTGCAGGGCGTACAACGGTATCATTTACATTTTGACACAATCTGGCTCTATGGAGACGGGATTGGAGGGGACAGAATGGAAGGCCCGGAGATGAGGAAGGAGACTTCGTGGAGGTGGCAGTGAGAGGCAGAGGTGCTTTGTGGAAAGGGTTTTCTGACACTTTTCCAACAAGGCTGGGTATATTTGCCTTCACTCAGCCCACATCTGGGCTCATAACCATGGGGGAGTATAGATAGTCAAGTGATCTATGCTGAGAGTGTCCCCCAGGATTGATTGAATATGAATCCATTTTAACATTAGCCTAAATAAAGCCATTAGATTTACAGATCTGTCTGCCCTGAGAGTAACTCACAGCTCTCCATCATCTTCATCTTGGATTGTCCCTCTATTTCCTCCCAATAGCCTGAGGATGGAATTTATTAGAACACAGCCGTTCATAAAATGGTTTCACAGATAACATCATTTGCATAGAAAAATCCTATTAAATCTACCCCCTCCCCCCAAAAAACTACTAGAACTGACATGTGAGTTCATCATGATTGCAGGATCTAAGATCAATCTACAAAAGTCAACTATATTTATGTCTACTAGCCACGAACAATTGGAAAGTGAAATTTAAAGTACACTGACATTAGCATAAAAAATATAAAGTATAGGAATACATTTGACAAAAGATGTGCAGAAGCTGTTCAAAGAAAACTACAAAACACTGCTGGGAAAGATTAGATTAGACCTATATCAACAGAACGGTATACCATGTTCCATGGATCCGAAGATTCGATGTTGTTAAGATAGCAGATAGCAGTTGCCTCCAAATTGTTCTATAAATTCAACACAGTCAAAATACAGCAAGCTTTTCTGCAGAAATCCACAACCCGATTCTGAAATTCATATGGAGATGCAAAGGGTCTAAAATAGCCAAAACAACTTTGAACAAGAATGAAGTTAGATGATGCAAATCTCAACCTCAAACCTTACTTACTACAAAGTGACAGTAACCCAAACAGTATAGTATTAGCATCAAGACAAATAGATTCATAGAGCAGACTAGGGAGTCCAGAAACAAACACAAGTATAGTCCTTTAATTTCTGACAAAGGTGCCAAGACAACTCAGTGGAGAAGGGAGTTTTTCTACATGTGGTGCTAAAACAATTGTGTATTCATATGCAAATATTCCCTAGGGACAGAAACAAAGTCTTCACTTCTGTTTCCCATTGTCACCATGTGAATTTCTAAATAGAATAATTACTCATTCAGAAAAAAAATTTTTTTTCTATGGTTGGCCAATTGCTTCAATATTGTCCATACTTTATCCCACTTCACCTCCTCTCTCCATAAAGGAAGAGCTACTTCCCTGTGTTATTCAGACGGGCTTACATTCAAGTCCTACTCAGCCCCTCCATATGTAATTTGGGGCCAATTTCTTAATATCCAGTATCCACATTGTTCCTTTCCAGTACATCTTGCATAGGGATGTGAAGACTGAGTACTCAGTAGGTGCCCCATAAGTCATTTTCCCCCTCTCTTTCCCTTAAAGATCTGGCAGTTAAGAAACTAGCCCCTGATTTCTGTCTTCTGCTTTTTGCTCTGGGTCATTTGTACACAGCAGAGTCAAGGGGAATCTCAAGGAGAAGGCACCTCCCTACCTACAAATACAACTCCCTTAGTCTGCCCCTTTTGTTCACTGCCACGAAGGGGAAAAGTAGAGAATTTCTATGTCTTTTTTGCCAAAATATTGGAGGACATACCTCCCACCAAGGTGGGTCTGATGCCTGGCTCAGGCATCTGTTGGTCAGAGACCTGTCTGAAGTGATGGTTGAGTTTTGTGTAGACTGGGAAGAGATTCCAGGTGGGATCTGAAAGTGCAAAGGCCCTGCGGTAGAAATTGACTTGATTTTTTTTTTAAGGAATATCTGTGAAGCTACAATGGCTAAAGTGGAGAGAAAGAGAAGTAGCTGAGGCCAAGATATCACAGAGCAGAGTTTAGAATTGCCCATTGTGAGACCACTGGGTAAGGAAGGAGACTTATCAGACATCTTAGCCCCTGGAAATCCACTGTTCAGCCCATTCAAAGTTGTCTGACCAATGGCAAAGTACAGTCGGTATGAATTGACCTGAGAGGCACCATCACATCCGGTAAGGGCACCTGTATCACTAAATGAGGATTAAATTAAGTAGAATTTGATTTGTACATCTGTCCTTCAGTTACTAAAAGGTAATTATAGCTTAAGAAAATGGGCTTTAAGACCAGACTCCTGAATCTGTAGCTCAGCCCTGCCTCTTACTAGCTGTGTGACCTTGGGCAATTTGCTTTCCCTTTCTGTGCCTCACTTTCCTCATCTCTGAAATGGATCCCTTCTTAGAGTTATGGCAAGATTTAAATGCATTTTTACAAGTGACATGCTTAGAACGGTACCAGGTACAGAGTAAGAGCTCAAAGTGTGAACCATTGTGGTGAGCAGAGGGAAGATGATCACCTCCTAATCTCAGGAACCTGTGAATGTGGTAGGTTCCATGGGGAAAGTGGCATGTAGGGTTGTAGGTGGAATTGATGCTGCTAATCAGCTGACTGGCCTGGGAGACCCTGGGTTACCCAGGTGAGCCCCATCTAATCACAAGGGTCCTTATAACGAAACGGGGAAGCAGAAGAGTGAGTGCCAGAGTCAGAGAGAAACTCATAGGTGAAATGTTGGCCAGCTTTGAGGATGGAGGAAGGGTCTGCTAACCAAGAAATGCAGGTGCCCCCAGAAAATGGAGAAGGCCAGGAAACAATTCTCCCTGAAGCTTCCAGGAGAGACATGGCCCTGTCAGCATCTTGAGTTCAGCCCAGAGACACCTGTTTCAGATTTCCGACTTCTAAAGCGGTAAGATAATCCACGTGTTAAGTCATACAGTTTGTGGTAATTTGTGACAGCCACATGGGAGACTAATAGAGCTGTTATTATTATGATCAGTATGATGAAGATGATGATACAGACTCTTGTGTGGCCTGGAGAGCGGGGTGGCTGCCAATGGGAGAGGGTTCCAGGCAGGCTAAGGCCTCTGGCTGGCACTTGAGCCCACATAGTCCTAGGCTGAATCTGCATGTCACCAGGCGAAGGCATCTGTCAGATGGAGGAGGCACCACTGCACTGGACTGAATAAATTTGAGGCTGTAAGCCTCAATTCTAGAATTTTGAAAATTAGTGATTAACATATGATATGCGTGTCATTATAGTCTATGAATCAGAATATTCATTAAAATACTCCCTTCTAGCTGCATAGAAGGTCCTACTTTGAAATGCAATTCATTGGCAATACTTCCTTTGCTATTTCCAATAAGAAAAACGTGGATTTCCTCTTGTCGAACATCGGCTGCCATTTACAGAGCCCTGGGCTACAGCTTTACCTTCATTTCTTCTAATTCTCAATAGTTTTGCAAAGCATGGGTCCTTATAGAGAGAATTTCTTTTCTGTACAAACTCCGTTTAGCAGTGATGGAAATTACACAAGATGGTAGAGTTTGGGGCCTCACTTCAAATGCATCACAGAGGCAAATAATTATTTGCATTTTTGTTTCCTTCCAGTCATTGTCCCTCTTACCAGAATGTACTCAGGGAATATAATTTTTCCCATGAAGTGGGCATTTTTAATGTTATATACAGATGAGGAAGTTGACAGGTCAGAAGGCTTTGAAATATACTGACTTTGGAACCAGAAAGAACAGAGTTGGAATCAAAGGGGCACGGGTAAATGTGTAAGAGCTGGCTTTCTGACGAGTGGGGGGAAGTCCTGATTTGTAGCATTTGCCATCTTCCCCCGTGGCTGATTCGTGGACGATCTACTCAGGCTGGTGGAGTCTCGGCTTCCTTTCCTGCAAATAGAACTCCACACACCCCAGGGCCCTCCCTTCATTCAGAAAAGAGCACTCGCTCCAGAAAGAGGGATCTGGTACAGTATTTTTCCAACTGAATTATGAATCCTTATTGGGTTGTGAAATCCATTTCTTTGTGGGTTGCAATCAGAATCCTAACTAGGAAAAACTAGAACAGAACCGGGGAAGAAAAAAATCAGTGCAGCAGGCATGGGAAGGCTGTTGTTCCCTGAAACCTTTCATCCTTCCGTAGCTATGGATGTGTGCACCGGGTCATGAAAAATCTTTTTCTTGCTGTAGATCACAGTTAAAAAATTCTGAGAGCTGCTGACTTGGTGAACCTGGCTTGCTAGAAA